CCCCCCCGTAACCCCTCGTTTCTTACATAGAGATGACTCGTACCCTAGTAGGGTTTTTTGGGTCGCTCAAATCTGAGACGTTACTTGTACAGTGTGGCCCAGATTGAGCTACTATGTTCCATCACCCTGCTTTCCTGTTTTTTTCGTGGAAAGTGAGTCTTTGTTTCTTCAAAACACATTCCTTAATACGAGTAATTAGGCACTCTCTCTGTCCTACGGCCGTCGCATAACATTTATATTTATTCATTGATTGGTGCGTGTATATCTGCTCTTCGAAAAATTAAATGAGAACAAACAACTTTTTCCCTCTTCGCAGCATTTCTCTTCGTATCTCTCATTTCAAAACTCCACGCGCACACGCTTGCCATCGCCTACAATATACAACCTACGAGCGTAGCGGCGACCGCGAAGCGGTACGACGCGAAGCGCCCTTGTATTTATTACCCGCTGTGTTTCTATCGCACTTTGTTAACCAGAAGGTGTCAACCGTTATGCGTCGGGAATGTGCTCCCGGGTAAATTCTGTTCGTCTGCGACAACTGATTTCTTTCAAAGAACCATGTTCGGACGGAAAGCCTTGTCGTGGAAGCACTCCCCCGAAATACAATTTTCGCACGACAAACGATACTGTTTGGAGTCTCTCAAGATTTCAATAATGCCACGGTGCCCGCTGGTCCTTGTCATATTACATGCTGGACGTCCTCCTAACATCCGCATCACGTTGGCCACGCCGTTTCTACGTACGTCTAGCATGCTTTATCAAACGGGTCGTATCGGGAAACGAAATGCATTAACGTCCTGCTTTCACTTTTTACTCGTCGAACCCCGCTCCCCAGGGCCTTCCGCAGCAATTCGCAGAGTATTTGGCTTATTGCCGATCCCTGAAGTTCGAAGCCAAGCCAAACGTGCCTTATCTCCAGGTGAGCGCTGTCGCGAAAAGCCTCCAGTATGAAAGCGAATGATCTTTCGCAATTCTCAGCTTCGTTCCTTGTTTTTGCGTTGTGGCTGATCTCTGCTCCACATGGGCTTGTGTGTGATAAACAAGTCCTCTCGGGGGGGGCGCCTGTCGCATAGCCACGGTACCGTATGCCTCTGCGTGGTCGGCATCGTTTGGCCGGAGTCCTCTCGACAATACGTTGATAAGTGCTTTGGCGGTGGTGCGCATTGTTTTGGTTCGATCGCGTCGACAAGCATCAACTACTGCTCAAGCTTTTGCTGTGTTTCTTGCCCGAATGATAATGAGGAGGAAAATGTATGGTACTTGATGTCAGCGGAATTCCATACGAACACCTCCCAACCAACCAACCAATCCTGCTTTTGGGTCATTCTTGGTACCGACCGGACCGAAGAGCCCGTACTCCATCCAACCCTGAAAACAGCGCCCGGAACGGAAGGTTGCTCGTTAGTTTTTCAACGGCACTCCGGTTGGGACCGTTTGGAAAGAGCGCAGGCGTGGTTAATGATCATCCCCAGCGGGCAGCGCATGCTTGATCGCGGCAAGTGTAGGGAAAGGTTTAGGCGTTTACCATGTACCTGCTTGTTAATCTGTTGTAGACAAAAATCCAAGTGCTTGAGAGGAATCACGGAACGTTGATTTCTTCAAAGGAGTCAACGCAGCGATTTACCATGTGTCTTGGCGTGTCGACGTCCGCAGGGTTTACTGCGCGAGCTGTACAAGGTGCAAGGACACTCGCCGTCAGACACCCCTGAGTGGGATTGGAGTAAGTTCGAGGGCAGGTCCGGGCGTGGAGGGGTTGAAAATATCAGCGGGGAAGCAATCGCCATCAGCGACAACCCTGGTGAAACACACGTACCTGGAGTGTGGCAAGCAGTTCCTGCCGAGGTTAAGGTTATCACGAAGGAAAATGTGAGATGCATACGTGTCCCCGGCATATGGCAAGACATTGAGCGTGCATGTGCGCTGCTGAGCAAGGGGTAAATTAACCCTTCGGGTCTAGCTGTTTCAATTTTTCCTGCAAAAAAAAGAGGGGGGGAGAGAGAATGCGGGAGAGAGAGTCATGAGTGCGGCAAAAAAGATACAGTGTACTTCTGTAGACGCAACAGCTATCTCCACCCATAGGCCATGAGGGCAGCCCGCGACAGGATGTTGGGCACAGACGGGGTCGACGAGTGGTCGCGGTGCGGCCGGTAGGGTAGGTTAGACTTGTAGACCTTATAAATTGAAGTCAAGCTGCCTTAACTACTCTATTTTCAGCGTTTTCAACTTATCAGTGAAAATGATCAGTGACAGCGCTTGTAGAACCAAGCTGGTGTACTTGTGTACTTCTCTGTTCCATCCCCAATATGAGCCCTGCCGGCTCACTGCAGCTCCTGTGATTTTCCCACAATTCTCACAAGCACGCAAGCACACACCAACAGCACCTACCTTTGCATCAGTGGCTCTCTAGGCTCGGGCGAGGGTATATGTGGGGCTATGACTATGGTGTCGAGTATGTGTTACTATTGTATGTTGGACTCGTCTGTGCTGCTGCTGCTGTGTAGTATAGCTGCTGACACGATGACTGGTGGATCTTGGGAGTGTACGATTTCAAATTTGGAGAATGTTCAGCATACCACGATATCCTGGCCTGGTTGGGCTTGAAATGCCCCTGTTGCTGCCCTCTGCTCTTTTCTTTGTAGCTTCCTTGGCGAGGGAAGGTATGTGGAGCTACCGATGTGGGTCTCTGTAAAAGGATATGGGGAGAGATTCATGGTGGCATTCGCAAAAAGTACATGGGCATTTTTCGAATTTTGGCCGTTCCAGGGACCTTGATTTTTCCCGCCGGCTCTAACGTCTTTTCATTGGTCACCGGTTAGCGCGGTCGATGCTATTCATAACGACACACCTACCTATGGATTTGCCAACACCTGGCGTGAAGGCATACAGGGCGGCCACTCCATGGCATGTCACCGCACCAGCATTTGTAAATGATCAATCCATTATTTGTCAGGACGCCTGTAGACCAGTAAGGGTTAAAGACTGTTTGTTGTCGGAACTTGTCTTTGACAGCTGACACCTGTGGTCAGGAGCAAGAACGGAGAGAACCATGTTGACAATCCAGGCGTTGGCCGCGAGCACGACAGACCCGGGGCGCAACCGGCAGCGAAACGGTCGACTACTGAGGATGATAAAAAACGCAATTCCGACAGCACGAGTGACAGGTACTGCATAACCCGACCTAAGTTGCCAGACTTCGCTTCATATCTGAACCACGTCACCACACCGTCATCGATCTCTGTGGGTGACGAATATTCTGAGAGCATATATCAGTGCGCATGTCGCCGTGATGGTAGATAATGTAACCGGCCATCGTGTAATCGTGCTTACGAAAGTGGTAGAGCACGAGAACGCTAACTCAGAGGTTTGCACGCCCATTTCAAAAGTCTGCGTGGCCCGTCCCTTTGAAGATGCCAACTAGAACCCCAGAATGGAGAAAATGACAATCAAGCGACGGAGTTCACTAGTAACAGTCGGGGAAGATGCGCGGGTGGCCGGAATGCAACAAGGCGCTCAAGAGGCCACAGCCCTGTACACGGGACAGCAGGATGGTCCATGTGGTAAGCGTCGCCATTGTAGAACCGGGACATTAGAGCCCTACGAGGCGGTCTGTTATGCTGGCTGGTAAACTCACGGCACACCCCAAGGCTTGATAATTATGATGAAACGCCTGCCAGGTACGCACAGTCACACGCACAACTCGGCCACGACCGGTAAACGTGACCGGTAAACATGACCGGGATGAACTGCATGCAAAATCTGATGTGCTTTGCGTGGAGGGGTTGGTTTGGTGGTCGGAATGGAATTGCTGTTTCGTCAAATTGCACAACGGCGTTTTTTTCTGCTGTTGAACCGAACATGCTTCGAACTTTGCTGCTGCCGTGATGTTCCATGTTTTAATCGCGAAATTTGAGGTTGTGACATGATGAAATTTGTACAGTGTTAAATGTGGTACAGGTGATGTCTGATCGTCGGATTTCAAGCAAGAACATTAAAGAGAACCGTTGGGCAGCACACATGCGCTGCCGAAACCGCACGCGGCCCTAACGAAGTTAGGAAGAAAGAGCACGCCTCCGGCGCCATATCCGTTTCAGTTTTTTCTGCGCGCTGCTCATTCGTATTGCGTGAGTGACCAACGTCTTCATGGCATATCGGGCGTGTGCAACTAGTCCACTAGTCCACCGCAAGCATGCTTGCGGCTTTCTGCATCGATGCGCTGGGGCTTATGCAAAACACCATGCAGCAATTCACGGCTTTCCCGGCATCATACCTTTGGGCACATGCATCGCCCCATGTACTCCACCAAGGCCAACGTGAAATGTTAAGGACTTCACGGCTGTTTGCAGTATACTTGTTCTCGTTTCGCGCCAACGTTTGCACTAGATCTGATGGTCGCAGCAGTAGTTTTGTCCATCATCTGACATTTATCTTGACCCAGTAGTACCATCCTTCGCCGAAACAGCAAGTTTGTAGTGGGTATTTTAACTTATTGGCGTGCTGCTCTTGAAGCGTACGAAAAATTTCAACTTGTTTGCTTTGGTACCCGGTAGGAATATGCGACCCAAAACCTCTGGATCATTCTGGGGAAGAGGTGTCCAAGAAACTACGCCATCAGAAGCGGGAAATGGAATGCCAGGAGGAGGCCAAGCGCAAGTAGCGGCCACACTAGGCGTTGCCCAGGTTGCTCATGGCTCATCTAGGAGGCCATCAACGGGCGAACCGCCGCGAATCGAAGGTATGAGAGCGTGATGATTGTTCTCGGATACCGAAAGTTTGCCTATCAGAAGTATAGGCGAAGCACATTCCTCGGATGGTATGGCGCCAACTAGGAACGGGTAAGATGGCTGCATCATAGTCGTGGGCAGGCAACAGTCGGAAGGGTTTCAGGTGTGGGGGTTTTCGATAGCCCAGTACGTACTGAATCCGTCGAACCCAGTTGAAAATCACCGATGCTACGCTCAGAATGGTTGAGGGCTTGACGGCGACGATTGGGTCTCGTACGTTTGATGCGCATCGATTGCGGTGGTCATACGAGAGGGTTCAACTCAATTTATTCTCTCTGCTTCGACAAACAGCGGTGTTCCAACCGCACGGTATTGAAACATATCTGCCGCACTGAGGGGTGTTGGGCTTGCTTTGTACGTTGCGTCGACTGTTGCGCTGCTCCTTGCGAGGCTACATACTGGTTTCACCTTTTACAAGCGGTATTTCCTCTTGAGCTGTTTCAAGCAGTACACCGGCTTTGAATATCGGGTTCGGAACCTTGGGTACCAATACGCCTGTTTTGCGCCACGTATGCGTTGGGACACCGCATTCAATTGACATACACTCATCCATCGAGACAAGCACATCTCCGATTTTGGTTCGGGCTTCGAGAACATGCGTCTAGAAAGGAAGGGTAGATTGAAACGACCACATGCGAAACGTGGTCTTTTCGATTCCAGGGAAAGCAACCACTTGCTTTGGTTCTCCTTGCGGTTTTCGAAAAATACCACGTTTCCCGTCTTTGTGAAGTGAGGCAGTTCGGTCATATTTACTCTGAATTCGGCCGGATTGCTGAACCGACAGACGTTGCGATGCTGATGCAGGGGCCTGCATGGGACATGGTATTAACTGGGGCACCAATTCTGTGCCCGCTGATGTTGCCACCAAGAACGCGAGGCCGCATACGGCTCACGGCCTCAGAGAATCGGACATTACTAGGGGGCGAGGAGATGCTGCCCCGGTTGTTGCTGGCGCTCGCGGAATGATGAGGTATGTTCGCTGATTTTGATGTGACAAAACGTTGGTTGTGGAAGATGAGAAAGTCTTCCGTGTGGAATAGGCTTTGTCCGACTAATCCTGCCAACAACTGCATGCTTTTCCATGGCAGGTACCGCAATGAACGTACCGGCTCTGGCGGCAGAAGCTTGACTGGATACGCGTGCAGCGGGTGGGATCCATCTTCATCAGGCCGCAATGGAGCGAATCACGCTTGGTCAGGCGGAGACGGCGGAAATCGCCGCCGCGATACCATCCATCGGACCACCAGCATAAAATCGACCGCCGTGCGGGCCACCGAGTCAACCTACTTACTTGGGAGGTGCGAAGTGTGGACCTACGTGAGAAAAGGACCTCATCACACCCACGTTGCGTTTCTGGCAGCGAGAAAACGAGCACCTATGACGGAGTTGTGATCTTGGTTCCTACGAAGCACAACTCACACGAGCGTTCGTTGTGAAAGCAAAAGACGTCCAGCGCACCCAACCAACATGTATCAACAATGTTTGGCTTTACTACCGCACTGTAAACGGAAAACGCACCCACCTACGACAAGACCCCCCCAGAATACACCATGCTATCATGTTTGGATCTCAGATGAAGAGCGCACATACCACCGGAGTCACATGAGATACAATTATTACGCACCTCTGAGGTAGTCGTTTATTTGTCTGCGATTGTTGGTGGTTGGTCTTTTTGCATAAAAAAGTGACAATGGTCAATGCAGCATGCATAAGCCTTTTTTTCGGAAGGAATTGTAATTAGTGGAAGTTCTTTGCACTCTGCAACCACGCGCCCCACAGGGCCTCGATCTAAATAGCATTTTCCGATGAAAACAAGTTTATTTCTTACCCGCTTTTCTTTGCATGTACTCTATTGTGTAGGTGATGGTATCCAAACGGTCGCCCCGGTGGTCTAGTTGGTATCCTCGAAACCTCCTAGAGGTCAGGTCAGGGGTTCGAATCCCGGCGTAAGTGAGCTTTTCTTGCAAAGTGAGTTTTTCTCTCGCTTCCGCTCCTGGCCTGTAGGGGATAGCGCTAGTTCGTGTGTACACAGAGGGAAGAGAGTGCTGAACTCTTCTCGCATTAAAAATCGAAGGCAAAGTACCGCAGGAGGGGAGGGTACAGAGGGGCTCTTCTGTTTGACCACGGGTTGGAGTAAACGGCACCAGTGCTGTGAGCGCTGATTTGAAGTGAAGACAACGAAGTGATGAATGAAAACATTTCATTTCATCGCAACACGGACGGATGAAAACTTTTCATTCAATCAAAAACACGGTCGCTATTGTCGATACAAGGGCGCTATTGGCGCGATTTGCCGGAGCCATATGATGAGGGGGTTCATCACCCGGTTTTCGTCTCACCCCTTCCCCCCCATCCTTTCACACGCCTGTAACCACGTTCGGCGGGAACTTCACTGCTGTAGGCATGGTGTCAGTGGTATTACCCACGATGCGGTAGCTCTTTGCAGGGAGTGCCTGCAACACACCCTAGTTCCCATACCCCTTCGGCCCCTGCAAGTGGGAGGGCGGCAGTGGCATCACGTCCCCTAGTTATCACACCCACTTCATGACCCCCGAGACCACAATTTATCATCCGGTTCACAATAACGACTCAGCACTCGGAAAGCAACACCCGGTGATGTTTTGTTGAACAACTAAACGGTGCCCACGGGTTGTGTTATCCTGGAGGTCGTAAACGGCATGTAGAAGGCAACCGTTCCACGTGTATGGCTATGCGGCCGTTCGAGAGGCGAAACCACGGGTACTTTGCTCAACAAAACAACATCGCAAGTTGCTATTCGGGTGTGAACCGCAGCTATTCATAGCAAGAACGACACACAATGCTTCTGTTTCGATATATTTGCTCGCTGACTCCAGCAAACGTCTTACCGCGAAGGCCCCCTTAATTTACACCACTCGCCAGATTTCCGAAGACAAGAATGCGTCTTGTTGGAAAATCGCGGTGCCTCTTCCTCGTAGTTGATGTTGCTTTGTTGATGCAAAGGTGGACGGAAACAGTCATCTCCTGAAAGGCCCAAGAATTGATGTTGAGTTTTTTCAGGACTTTGGACGGAGTAGAACCGCTCCGCGCTCCGCGGAGCGTTTTTTTTTTTTAAGTTTCACTGAGCGGAGCGGTTTCTTCATTTGAAAATATCACGGAATCACGGAGCGTTTCGGAGCGGTTTATCCGAGGGCGCAAGTCTCACGGAGCGGAGCGGTTTTTTGTTTATGTCACGGAGCGGAGCGGTTTACCCGCAGTGCGTTTTTTTTCACGGAGCGGTTCGTTTACTCCGTAGCATCAACCTCGCGAAACCGTGTCGTTGAGCACGGTCAGAAAAACCGTCGACGGATTACCTGCAATTTCGTGAAAAACTTGGGTCTGGTACACCGAAGACCGATTTTTCCGCACGGTGTGCTGTGGTTTGAGGCCGCCGGTGACACCGTATGCGTCCTCGCCGCTAGGACAGCCCAAAAAGCCCAAAAAGAAAAAGCAAAAAAGCCAGCGATCAATTCATCAAATATTCAGAAAGGAACCGTTCCCCACATCCATACCTCATCGACTCATGTCATACGTTCCTGCTACACGTACAACAGCAGAAAATTTCTCATTCGCCTGTCGTTAACTTGCCAGTTCTATGTAGCACTCTGGTATTGCCAGGCGTCTTGTGTATTGATCCAAACACATACGCCCCTATTTCACTGAGTCAGTCAGATTCGACACTTGCTCTCCCGCACGAGTGGCTTGGACAGATGCAGCTTTGGGCTTCCCAACAGACTGCGCTCCAAGCAGCTTTCGCAACTCCTTGTCCAACTTCATGATCTCGGGAATAAAATGGGGGTTTGACCTGAGGAATATCACCATCTCGACACGGTCGGGCAGCATCGACTGCCAAAGATTGTTGTACACAAATCCCAGCCCCACAAACTCCCTCTCTCTCTGATTGGCAACTAGTGCTGTCAATGCAAAGGTACACGCGAGCAAGCATGGACGGGATGGGGATTTGCGCAGCAGTAACAACGTTTCCGTGGGGGTCGAGACGCGGGATGCCGGCATCCCGCCAGAAACCGACGACTTCATAGTGTTTGTGTATGGAGCAAACTGTTGTGTGTGTTGGCACGGTTATTATATTGTTATTTGTTTTGCTGCTGTGAAATAAAAACAGAACAAAGAAAAAATGCCGTGACTTCGTGGGAAAAGCGTGATTGAATGTCGGTTTTATCCGTGCTTGTGACCGAGTAGTTCAAACCGCTCCGTGAAAAAACCGCTCGAATTGATATTTGGGAAATCCCACGGAGCGGAGCGAAGCGGTTCCTCCGAGGGCAAAATTCTCACGAAGCGGAGCGTTTTTTGTTCATGTCACGGAGCGGGTTTTCTAAGTAGAAAATCTCACGGAGCGGAGCGGTGCGGTTTAATCCGCTCCGCTCCATGAAAAAAAAAACGCTCCGTGCACAGCCCTGTATTTCTTGTTCTCGTTGGGCTGAGAGTGCACTAAACGCAAGCCCCATGCGGGGAACATACTAGTGACGACGTATCACGCATATCATGAGCGGCTAAGGTGCTCTCCTGATGGGCTTCGTACACGTTTTCTGTAATCATCGCTTGAGGGGTTGCAGAGAGGATCCTGGCTCGCGCATAGGGTACACCGACGAAAATAGGGTCCCCCTCGCGTGGGCCCCCATGATTTTGTAAGAATTAAACTGCTGGTACACCGCCCCTGAAAACCTCCAAAAGAGGAAATGGGTACCTACGCGTGCGAGGAAGTTTTTTGTGCACCTCTGCTTAGTGCAATGTTCTTCGTTGAATACCCAGGGTGATTTCTCCAACAGGCGCTTGAACTACTGAATCCCGCCCCAGTCGCTCTAGCACTCAATATCACTTCCTATGGGATATTGAAGCAATTGGTACAAACGTATAACGCCATTCCAGTTTACACGCGGCCTTCGTCTTCTGCAGTGATATCTTGGTGCCCATCACGTTTGAGTGTGGGCTGTTGGTTAAGGTTCGGTCGTTCTAGTCAGTAATGCCATAAGGACATTGTTGTCGCAGAAAGCTTGCGTTTCTTCCATGTATGGATACACAAGCCTGACCGCTGCCACGGACGTACGCGGACTCGGGAGTGGAGGTGCTGCTTCGAGTAGGCTCGACTGCAACGGATGTGGCGGCGGGTGCCTGCATGATATGAATGGCCCCAGTGGGGGCAGTCTGCCGCCAACAGGGCGACCGAATACACCCGGTACCGGCACCAGCACCAGGGAGTCACGGTAAATCCCGGAATATAGCAGGTGGTCCCATGTAGACCCGGATAGTTTAACTCGCAGTTGGCGGACGAAAAGTAGGCCGGAGCTTCCACTTGCTCTGATGTTCGAACTGTTTCTCGAGGTGTACATGAATGCTGGGTCTTAACCAGAATAATGGACTGTCATGAAGGTTATAAATCACGCTAGGTTCGGTCACTTGCTGGTGGCGTGTAAAGAGAGAAATCGAAATCAGTAGAGCGTAAAGGTAGGCTAGACAACGGCTAAGCCCAACGTAAACCCCATCGCGAAAAGTGTAAGAGATGCCGTTCGAATTTTTTACGAATGCTATAGTTGCACCTGGAGATCGTCGTGTGCGTACAAGCTGATCCTTGGTACGTATTGGGTGATTTCCTCTTGAAGCTCAATAGTTTCGACGTTGTTTGAGTGCGCAATAATTAGGTCTCCAAAACGAGGTAGTCCCCGTCCAAGTGGCAAAACTCATCTACCATCTATTGTGTAATCCAAAGGTCGGTAGTGGACGTCGTGTTTTTTCTCGTGCATGATGATTATGTCAGGGATCAGTGCGGAAGCGACGCTGTGGCGATTGGAGGCGAAATTGTGTCATTTGGAACATATTTCTGTCCGGCATGGACTGTTCTCCTGCAGTGGTGCAGTGATGCGGGACACCTCTTGAATGATAGTTCGCCTCGGATCCCCGCAGCTTTCGGATTATCCGCCGTCACCGCCTCTCATGTTCGTTGGAAGTATGTTTACATGATTACTTTCTAAAAGGGCCACGCTCCACACACTCCACGTCCATGCGACGTGTTCCAAGCAGTATATCCACATCCAAGGTCACTCCAGTAAGCGTGTGGTGGCCTTGTTTTTCGGCGCTATTGAGTAAACTAGAAATTCCTCAAACCGTAATGTCTGTAGAGGTCTCACTGAACCGTTCAAAAAGTGCGAATGTCTGTCACTCCGAACCTTCGAACCACACACTTTCTTGTGCCGAAACCCCGATCAGCCGTCCTGCGCTACGTTGAACGCCTTCAGCAACTTTGATCTTGATTGGTGCCTCCTGC